CTGTGCCCAGCTGTGGGACGTATACAGAATGTAACTCTAACTAACTGTTAATGGGAGACTTTAATATTCAAATTGGAAAGAGGAATAAAAATTAGAAAAATATACTTGGAACGTATTCAACTAGTAAAAGAAATGAGAACGGACAAAGAGTGATACATTTCCCATTAGCAAACAACCAAAACATCATGAATAGCCACTAAAATAAAAATAAAAACATAATAGAAAATGGACATTTAGTCACCTGATGAAAAAAACAAAAAATAAAATAGAATACATTCTCACAAGCAAACCAAAAGTGTTTATGAATATTGATGTTGTCGATCAACTCAACTACAACGCGAACCATAGATGAATGATGAAAATTCTGTCAGTTTTGAAGCATGTTTAATTGATTCCAATTTGCATACTATCTCACGTATAATATTGGCATGAATATGCAAAATGCACTATAAACGAAAATCGAGAAAGAAATTATGCAAATATGTTTGGTATTATTCGACTTCTAGGAAATGTATGAGGATATCTCTAGAGCCATGCATTCCTCCAAAACCCAATATACGGTGTTAATGGGAGACTTCAATGCAAAACTAGGCACAAGAGAGAATGGTGAGCTGAAAGTAGGGAAATTTGGATTTGCCCTATGCAACGGAACCCCAGGGGCCAGCTGCTGGCCGACTTCATGGAGAAAGAGGGACGCTTTATGATGAACTCTTTCTTCCAAAAGCGGCCCCACAGGACGTGGACATGATCGAGCCCCGACGGTTCGACAAAAAATGAGATTGATTTCATTATGACGACCAGACGACAACTGTTCAGTGAAGTCTCAGTGATCGCGAGGGTGAAAACCGGCAGCGATCACCGAATGGTTAGAGGCACACTGAACCTAAACGTTAAGTTGGAGAGGTCTCGTCTAATGAAATCAACGCTCCGTCCCCCTCGTGCTCTAATCCAAAGTCCCGAAACCTTTCAGCTTGAGTTACAAAACCGTTTTCAGTGCCAAGAAGACTGCAATGAAGTGGACGATATGCATGACAAGGTCTCGTCTAATGAAGTCAACGATCCAAGAGTGAGTCTTATCCGACACTATTCCGAATATATCCCGGACATCAGTCTGAGCGAGATTAGAATGGCTCTCTAGCACCTTTTTCACCACGGCAATTTCCCAAGCGAGGATGGAATTACAGCGAAGCTTTTGAAAGCGGGTGGAAAACCGGTACTTGAAGTCCTTCAGAAGCTCTTTAATTCCGTTCTCCATGGTGGCACTACTCCGGAGGCGTGGAGCAGAAGTGCGGTGGTCTTGTTCTTCAAGAAATGCGACAACGCTCTCTTGAAGAACTACAGACCGATTTCCGTTCTGAGCCACTTCTACGTGCTGTTTTTGAGAGTCATTACGAATCGTCTCGCACGCAGACTTGACGACTTCCAGCCTTCCGAACAAGCCGGTTTCCAAAAAGACTTTAGTACCATGGACCACATACATACCTTGCGGCAGATTGTACAGAAGACATAAGAATATAATCTGCCACTTTGCCTTGCGTATGTGGACTGTGAGAAATCCTTTGATTCCGTCGAAATTTGGGAGGTGCTGAATTCTCTTCAGCATTGCCAAGTTGACTGTCGGTATATCGAAGTGCTGAAGTGTTTGTACAGTAGAGCTACGATGGCTATCCAAGTACAGAATCAGAGTACGAAACCTATCCAACTGCAGAGAGGTTTAAGACTTATGTGGGTGACTTACGGATCTAAGACGTTGTCCTTCACTGCTGGCCGTATGAAGAAGCTCAAGGTCGCTCAGCGAGCTATGGAGAGATCTACGCTCGGGGTTTCTTTGCGTGATAAACTTAGAAATGAGGACATCCGCTGTAGAATCAGAGTAACCGACATAGCCCAACGGATAAGTAAGCTGAAGTGGCCATAGAACCGACAACCGATGGGGAAGAAAGGTTCTCGAGTGGCAGCTTCGTACCGGTAGGCGAAGTATAGGGCGACCCCCCACTGGACGGAGTGGCGACCTGGTGAGACATGCAGGAAGTCGATGGATACAGGTGGCTCAGGACCGTGCTTTGTGGCATTCCTTGGGGGAGGCCTATGTTCAGCAGTGGACTTGTGAAGGGCTGTAATGATGATGATGATGAAGTTGGGCATGTATGATGGTTCTGTTAGATAGGTTTGATTGGGGAAAATTTTTGGAGAGACCAGTCCTCGTATGCAGTTGATGGTATATTTATTATAATTTAATTTGAATAAAATAATCTACTTCTATTTTTATTAATTTATTATTAATATAAACAGTTGTTATTAATGGATGCAGTTCTTCCGGATCGGTAGTATCGATGAGTGTTTCTTACGTCTCAGTTCTTGGACCCTTTCTGTTCTTAGTTTATATTAATAATTTACCTTACTTGGAAGGGAATAACCATGATATAGTATGATTTTCTGGTAAAATTTCGTTGCAAAAAGGCAATTATTGAAATATGACACAGTGAATAATTCTACATCAAAAGTAGGACGCTGGGTTAAGGTTAATAATTTGCTTTTGAACGGTAATAAAAGGAAATGTAGTTAATTCACTACACCTAATTTTAAACAGGTGAATAATAATGTGCTTTTAAATGAGGAGGGCATGGGTCTTGTTGAATCCACTGTTTTACTCGGAAGTACAGTTGACGCGCATCTTCAATGGGACCCTAATATATCTAAACTGGCTAGCAAACTTAGTTCTGCAGCATAGGCAGTGAAAAGGATTAGATATCTTACATCTATTAAAACAGCTAGATTAGTTTATTTTAGTTACTTCCATAGCATAATGTTATATGAATTCTTGCTTTGGGGTCACATTGACTTTGAAACTATTTTTGTTTTGCAAAAGAGAGGCAATTTATAACCTAGGTCAGAAGGAATCCCTTAGACAAAATTTTAAAGAAATAAATATGCTAACCTTGCCCTCTTAATATATTTACGAGAATTTAATGAATGCACACAAAAACAAAAATAATTTTATTAAAAATAGTGATATACATTCTGTAAATACTAGGAAAAAGCAAGTTAGTTATACCAGATACTCGACACCAAAGAGTCAGTAACTCCTTCATGGGGCAATGTATATGTTTTGACAACAAAGTCAAATTCAAAGTCAAAGTCAATATTTTGTTTCGTTAAAAGTACTGTTACGACCTTGGGTTTCGAGACAATTAAGAACTGCCGATTGAATTACCAAAATTGACACTTTAATTACAGAACATTAACTTGTAGTACTGATCACTTTAGTTCGCAGTTGTATCGCTTCGAAGTATTCGCTTGTACCGCCAGTTCAATACTGCCTCTGTCGCAGTCTAAACCGGCTTTATATAAGGCCTCGGATAGTTTCCAGAACCTTCTACAGTAGAAACTTGCAGAATTTTCGAGTACATATCGGTTCCGATTGACTAGGTGTCGATAAATCTAGAAAGTTCTTCCATGGAAATTTGTAGAATGTTCTTGACTCTCCTAGTTCTGCTACTCGATACTAGAGGGCGCTAGTGGTAACTAGTGTCGCCATGTACCATGTATTAATTGTGGCGCGCAACAATGCCCCCTTCTAAGATATGCTCGTCCCGAGCATTATTGGCACCATATAAACGCGCCAGTCGATCCACATGGATGATCTTAAGAGTACCTCTTGCACCTTTTTGTATCCGGTAGGTTACGTCATTGATCCTTGTCACAATCCAGCACGGTCCGCCCCATTTAGTTTGAAGCTTAGAAGATTTCCCTTTGCTGCGAACTTGATTGTGCAACCACATTAGTGAACCCTTTATTGTTCATTTTGCGGTCATACCGGGTTTTCATCCTAGTAGACATTTGCTGGCCCGATTGTCTGACGTGCTCATAAATGCCATTAATTTTTTTCCGCAAGTCATTTACATAATCGGTTACACTGCATGGGGCATCAGGTGCTATTCCGGTGATCAGGTCTGCAGGCAGCCGTAATTGTCTTCCAAAGTTTACAAAATCTGGTGTCACCGATGAACTTTCATGAACAACGCTTCGATATGACTACAAAAACGGTTGTATATGCTTGTCCCAGTCCCGTTGCCGATTTTCCATAACTTTTGCTAGGTACCTCTCCAATATCTGATTAAATCGTTCTACCATTCCATCAGATTGTGGGTGGTACGAAGTTTTTCTTGTTTTATGAGTATTTTGAAATCTTGCAGTTGTATGCTTGGGTTGGGATTTAATTTTATTAATTATAGGATCCCAAGCAAATGTAAGAACTCTTCCATCCGCAATAGGCAGGCAGATGTAAGGCAGTGTCTGAGTAATACTGCATATTCTACGGGCATGTTGTTTTCCTCCAGCCTTCTAGTTACAATTGAGTTGCAATCTTCAACAGATAAGCATGTGAACAGAGACTGCACATCAAAATTGACCATAGTTTCATTGTCTGCAGATGTAGGTCTTTAATCTCGCTGACAAAATGGTAGGAGTCCTTTGCGTGTGCTATTGTATGTCCCCTGAGTGGTGAGAGTATTTTCGCTAAGTATTAAGCTAATCTGTAATTTGTTGAATCGATTTGGCTCACTATGGTATGCAGTGAAGCATTGGGTTTGTGTATTTTTATCACTTTTAGTTTTTTTATATGTTTTTTGTCAGCACAACCGGTCAGTTATTTCGTTTCCGGTAGAGTATATTAAACAAAATGAATTTGTTTGTAAACAATTGCATCATATCTTTCTCTATAGTTTAACCCTTAACACCACACGTGGGGGAGTAAGCTCCCCCACCGCTCACAATTTAGAAAATATTTTAAATGTTTGAAACGTAACGCGGTTGAGTGTTCGTGTATTCCCAGTGCCGCCCGAGGTCTCGCGGGGAGTGGACGCGCGCCTGGCTATTGTGCTTAGTTCAAGAGGTACGAGTCGATGGGGGAGCCTAGTCCCCACGAGTGTAATAACGTTAGTTTTTTTGTTGTTTCATTTACTTATTTATTTGTTTTTTTTTTAAGTTTGTGGCGCAATATGGATAAAAATTTGAATCCCCAGCAGATACAAGATCTGTTGAATGACTTAGACTGTGATGAAAACGTGAATGAGGACATTTTTCCTGATGCATCATCGGATTTGAGTGACGCGGAGTCTGAAATCAGTGATCACAATACTGAAAGTGAAGAAGAAGCGGAAAATATCTCTGAAAACGAAGACTCAAGTGACATCGATGAACAAAGCCGAAACAGCAATTCTTTTTATGGCAGAAACAGGTACAAATGGTCGAAAGTACCACCATCGCGATCACGAGTGCCAGCACATAACATTATTATTCATTTACCTGGTCTAAGAGGTCCTGCACTAGTCAAAAATGAAATATCTCCATTGGAAGCATGGTCTTGTATATTTACTGAAGATATGATTGAATTGATTTTACAACATACTAATGAAAAAATCACAAATTATTCAGAAAACTATACATCTAACTCAGTCTATACTTACCATGTCACAAGAGAGGAAATTTTGGCATTTATTGGGTTGATGTTTTTGACAGGCATATTCAAATCTGCGAGAGAAGATGCTCGGGGCATATGGTCAACTAAAACAAGGGGTAGACCTATTTTCAGAACAGTTATGAGTCTAAATAGATTTTTGTTTATCTTATCATGCCTACGATTTGACGAACAACTTACACGAGAAGAACGAAAAAAGACAGACAGACTTGCTCTAATATCAGAATTGTTTAACAAGTTTATAAAAAATTGTATCACTAACTACAGCTGCTCTGAGTACGTTACTGTTGATGAAATGCTCGTTCCTTTCAGAGGTCGATGTATTTTCCGTACGTACATGAAATCAAAACCAGCGAAGTATGGGCTGAAAATAATGTGTTTATGTGATGCAAAAACACATTACTTGTACAATGCCTTTATTTATTCAGGAAAAGAGCAAACTTCTCGAGCTAATACATTGTTGATACCAACAAGGAACGTTTTGACACTGACTGAACCAATTTACCAAACTAACAGAAATGTAACTGGTGATAATTGGTTCTCATCGATTGAGTTGGTTGATGCTTTGAAACAGAAAGGTCTAACTTATGTAGGCACTATTCGTAAGAATAAAAGAGAAATTCCTTTGCAGTTTCTTCCTCATAGGAGCAGGCCAGCTCTCTCGTCAATCTATGGCTTTCAAAAAGATAAAACACTTGTGTCTTTTGTACCGAAAAAGAACAATAGTATTGCGCTCATATCCTCCATGCATCATGAAACTGTAACGAATCCTGAAACTAAGAAACCAGAGATCATTGAATTTTACAATTCTACAAAAGGTGGCGTGGATGCTCTTGACCAGAAGTGTGCTGCTTACAGTGTCAACAGGAGAAGTCAAAGATGGCCAACTACAATATTCTGTGCGATGTTGAATATATCAGGAGTAAACAGTCATGTTCTATATTGCGCCTCAAACCCTCAAAAGCGTATGAGCCGTTACAAGTTTTTAGAAGAACTTGGATACGCTTTAGTAACTCCACATGTTATGAATAGAAGATCTATGACAAATCTTTCAAAAGAGCTGAAAGATATGATTGACAAGTTTCTCCGTGAGGTTGGTGTTGAGCTACCTGAAGATCAACCTGCACAAGGACCGAGCCAAAATAAGAGACCAAAGAAATCGCGCTGTCATTTGTGCCCACGGCTCAAAGACAGTAACACCCCAAGAGTGTGCTCAAAATGTATGAAGAATGTGTGCCGTAATCATTCTGTAGACGTAATAGTATGTGCTAAATGTCAGGAAAAGTATTAAATGGGCTAAAATACATTATTTTGATAGAAAATATTGAGACTGAAATGAGGTTCCTAAACTTGAATGATTTTTGATATTTTCTAAGTACTATGTGCATTCCTCTTGTGATTTTAGACGTTTAAGTATTTTTGTAGATTTTTATGTATTATTTGTAATTCATAACATATGAGTAACTACAAAAAAGACTCGATTTAGTTCTTGTTTCTACTTTTAAGTCATAATCGCTTTTCAAAGTAAACTCTTAAAATTTAACGTGTTTTTTGTGACTTGTTTTGTTTGACGCTAGAAATGTATATTTTTAAGTTTAAAGTTATAAATAAATACTCTAATAACATTCAAAAAATGTATTTTATTTATTTCGTAGAAAAAAAACTGGTCTAGTAATGCAAATTGGTACTGATATATGATTTTTCTTTTTGGGGGACCACGCTCCCCCACGTGTGTAGATGCGTGGCCAGAAATAGCGTGTGGTGCTAAGGGTTAACACAAAGTACGATCGATCAGTATCGAGCTCCGTAGCTAGCGAAATGCATCGGTTTCCCTTAAACTTCGACATGTCATCGTTCAATTTAGTCAGTTTGTGTACGTTTGCACTGAGAAAACTTTCTGTTTAAAACGATTTCTTTTGGACGGAATATAGCTCGGTCTATTGTAGTTGACGGTATTATGTTTTGTTTTACGAAAAATTTCTACCATAATAAAAAAATGTGTGTATGTTCTTATGTACGCAGGTAAGAAGTTATACTTCTTTAGCGTACCAAAACAAAAATAAATTACTAAAAAATAATATATGATCCTGGTGCAATAATGGTGGTGGTGAATTAATTAACGGCTCCGTGACGCAGTGCTTAAGCAATGAGTTGCAGCGCTAAGGGTCACGGGTTCCATACGGAACAAGTATTTAAATGGCGTACAAATAATTGTTCTGGGTCAGGATGTCTGTCCTTGTGAAATCTATGTAGGTAAACTACCCCGGCGATACTGGAGAAAATTCTAGTGCGTAGGTAACATTTTGTTTTAATTTGTTTTTAGTAGGTTTTTAAACCTTATATTAACTCTTAATATTGTTTCACAACATAAAAATACATCAATCACGTCTTTTGATGGATAATTTTAATCTCTTTTATCTCTATAAAAATAAAAATATATAAACGATTTTACATCATTGTGCTGAGAATGCAAAACTGCGATACAATCTCCACACTTATAGTTATATTTAAATATAGTTTGATTAGATTACTATTTTCCATAATGTTCAATTGTTTAGGTGATTGATCTCATAAACCTAGGCTAGTGGATGTGTGGATAGGTCTATGATTGATCTTATAATAAAAGAGTTTAACTTTCTATCATAATATTGTTTTATTTTACATTGTGTGTGTGTTTATTAATTAAATTAACACGAATCATCATCATCATTATTACAGACTTTCACAAGTCCACTCCTGAACATAGGCCTCCTTCAAAGAATGCCACAAAGACCGGTCTGGAGCCACCTGCATCCATCACCTTCCTGTATGTCGTACCAGGTTGTCACTCCATCTAGCTCCATCTGCTACTCAAGAACCTTTTTTCCCATCGGTTGTCGTTCTACGAGATATATGGCCGGCCACTTTAGCTTGCTAACGCGTTGGGTTATGTCGGTTACTCTGGTTCTACTGGGGATAACCTCATTTTTAAGTCTATCACGCAGAGAAACCCCGAGCATAGCCCCCTCCATTGATCGCTGAGTGACCTTAAGATTTTTCGTATGCCCAGCAGAACGCGAATACTTGAATAAAATTGAATAAATATTCAAAAGCTGAACATAGCCCGGCGATATGACTTCGGGACATGAAACACCTAAAAGAAGACAAAATTAACGCGACAAAATAAATAAAATCTGTTTTTTAAATTGTTTTAATTAAAGTAAAAAATAGTGGAGCTATGGGATAAACTCCTGTTGCTATTTAAGTACTTAAAAAAGGGTTGCCTGCCAAAAGTGAAACTAAATCTTTTGCATCTGTATTTATTTCCTAGACCCTTTAGTAATTTTTCAATAATAGCTGTCAATTTTCGCTTAAATCTGAGTAATTCATATAAAACCTTTAATAAGAGCAATTCACTTGCTATAAAATCAAATTATTAAAACACGGGCTCTCGTACAAGCTTCATCAATCACGATCAAACTAAATTTGAAATTTAACAGAATGCTAATACTCAGCGGAACATTCGCTTTTGATTTATGCAAAATGTTTTATATTGAAACGTGTTTTTCTTGAGGTATATTTAAGGGATTTTGATAGCGTACACTTTTCAAAATGTGGAGATAAAAAAAATCTTAAAATTTTAATTTAACATCGTTTATGGGTTGTGCAAACACTAGTATAAGCATTCCTTGTATTGTAGGAGTGAGCGTTAATCTTGCCAACTCAAATTAATAAAAAAATGCGGTTGCCACCTACACAGGGTGACAACTGTGGCAAATAGTAATATCTACGGAGTTTATCTGGCAATCTACGGGGAAGACCTTTGTATTTGACCATTAATACAGACACAGATAAAGGTTATACTCGTTTTCTGCTTGCGCTTGCGCTTGCCTGTGCCGCTGTGTTCTGCTCTGAAGGAATAGATATAGAGTGTCAGTATAATTAGAGGCTGTACATATAAAGCAGTTTATTTTAGTTCTGAGAGATGACAACACAAATATAGCCTTCTTTAAATTTAACTGCAGGTGTTCACTGCAAAAGACTACAGTAGTCACTTACCATCACGTGGACAGTAAGTTCGTTTGCCGCTTCAGATTTATAAAAAAAAAACTTACCCAGTTGGACTCATAGATATTAAAGGATCCTTGAATTTATGTAAACTTGTAAACATAAAAAGTCTTAGGAGACTAAAATGTATTCTGTATGATTTCGTTTCCCTTACAGATCAAGTGTAAAGATTTATTTCCACGAACAAAACTCTCTTTGAAATAAAATCAGAAAATCACTGACATACTCGTAAGCGAGTGTTCCTTCATCAATCACATCGACTTTCTATCTACGTTCAATTTACATTGAAATACTTTTCATCTTCTCAAAAATTCCTTTACTGAAGTAATTGAATTCAGAAAATTTATTTATTTATTTAAAAGATCACCAGTTTTTATTGTACCAGTTTATATATTTTAAATAATTATAGTTCACAATATTCGGGTTCTTGAAGATATCGTTTTCTTACTAATTGTACTCCGATAACTTGCAACCACAACGTGTGCTGCAATACAGGTAATACGGGTTATACAGGTAATATTATTAAATATTTGAAAACCACAAAGTACTCTTAGTTAAAAGGACTCTATTTTGGGAAGTTAGAATAAGTTACAAAAGGCACGAGTGGCAACTCACAATGCTATGTTAGTCCTTACTAACACAGTATTGTGAATTGCGTGTTATTCCTTACAACCACAGAATTGTGAACTGCGTGTTAGTCCTCACTATCACAGCATTGTGAATTGCGTGTTAGTCCGTACTATTGCAGCATTGTGAACTACATGTTTGTCCCTACTATCACAGCATTGTGAATTGCCATTTGAAAATTCTAAAGTTGGTGTGTGGCAGAATAAGCATGGAAGTAAAATTAATGCTGCAAAAATGCGGTCATTAAGAAGTATCTTAGGGCTGAATCTGAATAATAGGGTGAGAAATTGTGTGATAAAAGAAAGGTGTGGTTTGCAAAATTGTGTTACTAGGATTAAAAGAGGAATGTTTTGGTGATTTAAGCACGTAGAAATAATGAATAAAGAAAGAGTTAGAAAGCAAATTTGTGCTAACAAAGTGAGTGGCTGAGTCGGAAAGGGACGCACTAGACCGAAGTTTATGGACCAAATTGGTTATATATTGAAGATGAGCCAAATTAAATGTAGCCGACGAGCATTTATACGTAAGTATAATATAGATGTGAAAGAAGTGAGAGCAGTGTGTCAGGATCGTGCCAGATGTAAGTCTGTAGTCTATGCTTACTCTGAATGTTAAAAGAACTCATCAATACCTTTCACCAAGATTCACCAATGCTGTTTAGTAGTTTATTCCTTAAATTTGGCAATAAACCGGAAAATATGTCAACATAATATGTCTATTATGTTGACATATTTTCCGTCAACATAATAGACATATTATGTAGTGGGGTTCCACGTGCGAGGCTAAGTTGCAGCCATGATGGGACTACAATGGAGCTTTTATGGTATACTAATTACCGAGAGAATTTTGGGTTTGTTGGGAATAGTCCTAAGGTCTTTCAACGATTCAACATTGTAAAGACTATTTGAAATAATATTTTGTATTGTCCTATTCATTTCTTCCTACGCAAATTTTCGTTTTACTATACAGGGTATAAATATCTTTGACAGTAAAACTAAAGAGCGCCTGGAGCTACTACGGTGAATTTCTAACCTGTGAAACAGATTTACTTTTAATGAATATTGTTGGGAATTAAAGAACTAAATTTAATTTTTTTTATTTCATTTACAACCAGAAATAAGAATACATTTTAGTTGGACAAGAAGAAAGTTGTCTACTCCTACCTAATTTACTTTGAAAAATCCGTATTGAAGCTTTGACGATACCGGTCACTTAGTCGGATAGGTGTCGTTCGTCAAATATAATCTTAGATATATAAGCAAACAGAGACTTCTTAATTAAATTGTTTTTTAAATTTGTAGTAACAAATAAGTTAAGTAAAATTAAATAAAGTTGGTAATTTTTTTTTATTCTATTAAAATTAAATTTTTCTTTGTCGTGTTGTTGGAATGCCTCGAAGCCTGCAATTATACTGGCATTCTTTACCCTTCAGACTGCAAGAAAACAGTTTTAGCATTGTTATATGGCAGCAGAAATAGGTGAGAGTGTGGTAGCCAGACGGACTACCACTCAGAAAAGGAATTGCGGGAGTGACGCCTGTAAAAATAGTTTTTAATAGTTATAGCAGTAGTTGGTAAACACCAACATCTTATTCTATTATGCTGTTAAGGATTATCG